GATAAAAAGGAAGAAAATGAGGAATACAAATTGTGTAACAGAAATTTTTATAAACAGATCATAGATCAGGGCAGATTTTTTTTAAAAAAACAAATCCTCAGAAAGTGTTTATAATGTGCATGTTTCTAGATGAAGGAGATGGAAGTAACAGATAGACGAGCGTGACTTCTGGTTTTATTTATACTTAACTGTTTTTGTTATGATTATGTGTACACATGCTGGGGAAGGCATGGCCTCACCACATGTGTGGAGGTCAGAGGACAGCCTCTCCTTCCACCTTTGTGTGGGTTCTGAGGACAGAACTGGGCGTCAGGCTTGTTCAGAGAGCACCTTTATTTGCTGAGTCACCTCTCAGGCCCAGAATGACTTCTTCGAGAAAGTATATTTGTGGAGGAATAGCTGAACAGGAACAATCCAGTCATGGGCAGTTGGATCTGCCGTTTATAGATAACGCAATTTTCTTCTATTAGTCTGATATCTAAGTTTTATATTATAAGCATGTATTATTGTCTTTATAACGAAAATACTCCGCCAGCATCGTATTCTCTTTCTCTCTCCTTGGTAGCTCTGCTATCACTTTTTTGAGCCTTCACTGTTGCCGTCAGTGCAGGGAGATTCACTGGGTGGAGGCATGGACGTCTGCTTACTGTGAGCTTCTGTCAGCCTTCAGAGCGCATGCTGTGAAGGGTTCCTTAAAGGCTGGTGACACCACATCGACACGCTTTCCCCCCCTCAGAAGAAAGGGGTTCCCACAGCACCTGTTCAAGTGGACTGCTCCCCAAGACCACCTGTTTACGGTCCTTCCTTGTTACCCCACAGGAAAGGCACCCGGACACAGGACTGAAGACCCTTAGGTCAAATCACCGACTCTAGGGTACATAAACTCCTAGAGTTTAGTTAAGGAAGGAAGCTTAGAAAAATAAATGCTCCCGAGGCAGAAGAGTGTGGGTTCACAGCCAGCCTAGGCTACAAGTGTGAGGCCCTGTCTCAAAAACTTGCTATAGATGAGTGGATAAAGAAAATGTAATGTGTTCTCTGTCTCTCTGTCTCTGTCTCTGTCTCTGTCTCTGTCTGTCCCCCCCCCCCCCACACACACACACAGAGGACCTGAAAATAGATCAAAATAAGAAAACTGTAGGCAGGGTAAAATTGGATGGGAAGACTTGGGAGCCAATCTGACTCTGGTGAATACTGTAAAAACACATAATTTGAAAGACTGGGTTTATGAAGCCTAACACTGTGTACAATGTATACGTGCCCAATTGAAAAAAAAAAAACCAAAACCTAAGAAATAATAATAACAAAAACCCCAAATCCAACCTGGATGATTTCAGAGTTTGAAGATTTCCCCGAGGCACCTAGCTAATAGCTAGGATGTCATGCCAGGTTCTTCGCTTCTGGCTCTGTGACCATGAGGTAGATATCTCTTGTGGGAAACTCCAGCTCTGAAAGTGAGGCGGCGCCTCAGCCAGAACTCCAGGGACCAGAAGGCCGGGCTGATCAAGGTACCAGCCGGGTTAGGGAAGGGGTCCTGCCTGCTGCGCTGTTCCCTCTGCATTCCAGGCAAACAATAGCTCTGGAAGAGGTGTGAACGACACCCCACCCCCACAATTAACCTCAAAGAGGTGTTAATTTCGCAGTCAAACTGAGGACCATTTAAATTCAGGCAGTGTCAGGAAAACAACCATTTATTTGGAGCCAAAAGAACAATTTGTCTCTTTTCTTGAGCATGGCCTGCCCATTAATTTTCCCAGAATAAAACGTCTTCAATCAGATTCTCCTCGCTTGCTTCTAGAACATCCATCCCCGGTCAAGGCTTTTCAACCAGAAGAGAAGAGGCGTCCTCCCTCTTTGGTGAAGACACCGGGAAGAATGGACGACCGCCTCCAAGGAGCACCATTTCTGGAGCAAAGTCCAAGTGACCCTGCTCAGGCGCAAGACGCCGTGACCCTCGTGGATGGGGACAATAGTTCTCTCATGTGGCCCACTTTATTGTTTGGTTTGAGGTGATTCCTTTCCTTTATCTTGTGCTTTTAGCCTCAGGAGTGGCTGCCCTTGGAGGGTTCTGCAGCAGTGGCGGGGCAGGGGGAGATAGCAATGTTCTGGCCCTTCCAGGACAGTTAACTACTTTCCTTGACACCCACCCACCAGATGACCCTGCACATCCCTTTCCCAGCCTCACTATGACAACTCAAAAATGTCCCCAGAAGTTGCAAACCACCTCTGGGGGATGGGGGAGTCTAATCCCAACAAAAATGTCACCTTTAAAAGCAATAGCATCCTAACCCCCAAAGACACTGCTAAACCTTTCCTAGAGTCAGGTCCACGCTTCTGGGCTATGACTCCCAGATGATGTAGCAGGTTACTGCGCCATCTACAATAAGGAAATGGTAGAGAAAGAAACAAACCAAGAATGTCAGTCTGTTTGGGAAATCATGGTGATGAAAACTAAGTAGAGTTTTCCATTCCACTCCATCTTGACTAACACCTTGTATTTCATTCACACAGACCCGTGTGGCCTAACTCCTTTTCCATCTTTGCCAAGGGTCCTCATAATTGTAATGCCTCTATGAATTGTAGCCTACTATACACCAGGCTCTGGTTGCCATGACAACTCGGGTGAATATTTGTTGTCCCTGTGTCATTAGAATCAAGCTTACCAATATCCTCCCAAGGCTTTGCACGGGAACCAGGAATTATGCTTCCGATGAACCAACCGAGGCTGTAGCTAAGACTACCGAGCATGCGCAGTCTTGGGTTCAGTCCCCAAACGCTATCTAAAACAAGTGTGGCTACATATACCTGTAGTCCTAGTATTCCTGCTACATAGCCACTTTGAGCTCTGTACCTACCCACAAGACTAAATAAAAAACACCAACCAAACAAAAGAAATACAAATAAAATAAGTTAATGATTGAAGTAAATTTTACTACTGAAGATCTTTGACTTTTCTTTTTAAAAAGTATTTATTTTTATTTCATGTGCATTGATGTTTTTGCCTGCATGTATGTCCATATGAAGGTGTTGGATCTCCTGGAACTAGCATTACAGATAGTTGAGAACTGCCATGTGGGTGCTGGGAATTGAACCCCAAGGCCTTTGGAAGAGCAGTCAGTGCTCCTAACCACTGAGCCATATACCCAGCCCCCGCTGACTTCTTAATCTTACCGCTCAAACCTTTAGGAAATCATATTTTTCTTGATTTTCCAAATTTATTCAAAACATATTCATTTCTCACTGCCTGTACTTCTATTGCTGGGGTCCAACACACCGTGTTTTGTCCCTTGGATAGCTGTGAGAGTCTTCAGACTGGTCTCCATGTTTCTGCACTCATCTCGGAGACTGCTTCCCAACCCAGCAACTGGGAAACCCTTCGAGGCACAAAATAGACCAGAGATTACACCCAGCATCTCCCAGGACTTTCCCATAATCCTTTGGTTTACAGAGTTCTCTGTGAATTCTTCTCTTGCTCTTAGTTCCCCTACATTCTGCTAGTCTCACTGCTCTCTTAAAGCATCCGGTGTCAGGACTCTGAAAAGCCCCCGTGGTCTCTTTCTGAAAGCTGGGTCCCAGCTGGAGGCACCATTTTCAAGGCTGTGGAGCCTTTAGGACGTGGGATGGCAGAAGCAGATCACTAGCAATGAGTCCTTTGAAACTTACTGACCTCCGGTCTGCCTCTGTCCTTGGTGTAACATTTATGCCCCTACCTCCACGGACCAAGGCTCTTCACCTTCCTGCTGTGGGGAACTATGAACTTTTGAAACAACGCGCCAAGCTGCTCTCTCCTCCACAAGTTGTCTCTCAGGCATTTACCACAGCTCCACACCAGACTTACTCTCACTTCTGAGCCTTCAGGCTTGCTGTCTCCTCTGAGGAGCAGGCGTCCCCTTCACAGGGGTCTCTGCATAAGCCACTGCCTCTTTCAAATCTTTAGTCCGCTCTCATCTTCCTGGTGGGAGTTCTTCTTGTTGCTCTACAGCTGCAACTTCTGTGTGTACACTGATTTAAAATTTCCCCTTATCGCATTCCTTGTGGGCTGCACTTGAAGGTAGACTTCATGAGGGATGGGCTATTATCTACTCTGTGTGTTGCCAAGTTTCTAGAGACTGAGTGAGCATAGGTAGTGTCCTTGTATTTATTGCTGACAGAATGAATGAATGAGGACATAGAGATACGTAACGGAGAACTAGAAATCTAATCCAACTTGATAGCCTCTGGCTCTGCTCTATAAACGAGCCTAAATTTGGCCGTGTATTAGAACCACTCGGGGTGTGCTTGTCAGAATGTAGGTCCTTCCTTGGACTTCACGCTGGACCTAAAATATATCATAACATAATAAAGAGTATTTGGGAGATGGTACTAAAGATTCCCCAAACTCCTTCGACAAAAAAGTACTGGCAACTAAAGACTATTGGCAGAGAGGAAGGATTAGTCTTTCTCGTGCATCAGCTCCCAGCTGCTTAGCCAATCCCAAGTAGCCAGCCCTGAAATAATGGACATTCAAAAGCAATGCTCAGTGAACTCAGCAGTTTGTATTTACGTCTTTCTGCATAGATATGGACCAATAATAGTCAAAGAAAAAGAGACCATGAATTTGAGGAGTAAGAGGGGGAGGAGAGGACACAGGAGGAGTTGGAGGGAGGGAACAAAAGGGAAGAAATGATGTAATTTTATTTTAATTAAATTTTAAAAAAATCCTCAGAAAGTTTAACTCAACTAGTATGATAGCCCCAAAGGACTAGCAAGATGGTTTAGTGGGTAGAGGTATTTGCTTCAAGTCTGAGGACCTGTGTTCGATTACCAGTATTTACACGGTGAAAGGAGAGAACCAATTCCTAACTTCTACTCATTCTCTATATCACGCGAGTGCGCTCTCTCTCTCTCTCTCTCTCTCTCTCTCTCACACACACACACACACACACACACACACACACACAAACACACACACACACACCATCCTTGAAGACTATCAGTGGAAACTTAAGTGCGACTCAGGAGTCTCCTGCATTCAAACTATTTATTTAAAGTCCAGAATCTGAAGCCAGGTTCTCAGGCTGGGAATCCTAAATGTATTATCCATGAGGCCTACTCCTTCTTGATTCTATTTTTCTCTTCTTTCCTTTCTCTGGTCACACACTGTTTGAAGAAAGGACCCCAACATTTAACTGCTGCCCAGCACCACACGCGTCGTTCCTGGCCGTCTTCTGACTCCTTGTCTGTCAGTTTTCTCAGTTTATAAGCTGGGACTAGAAGTCCTTAGTCCACAGGATGGATGCGAAGACGATACAGACTTTGATTATGTGATTATCAGAACAGCACCGGGCATGCAGGAGCCATTTACTGATTACTGTAATTACTGTTACAGCAACCCACTCTAGTCTCCTTTTGGAAATCTGTGGAACCCAAGTCTCTCAGTTTCTGTAGGGGTATCTCTGGAGCTCTTGGATCTTTAAATTGATCATGCCCGTAAGTTCAGTGCACATAGAGGTTCAGACGGCTCTGCTTCACTCTGCCCTATGGAGAGTCAACGTCCATCTTCCTTAGCTTCAGTAAACACGGACAGGTGACAGTGACATGGCTCGCGGAGAACCACGGACGATTCCTCCCAATTGGTCACTATCTGTGCAAGTCTGCAGAGGCAATGAGGTCAAAGTCCCTCGAGCCCAAACTTTTGGTTTTATAGCAGGAGGAACCTAAAGTGATTTTGTAAAATGAAATAAAGTAAAAATGCTTAGGAATTCTTGCACAGCCTTTTAAAATCAGAGTGGTCCAAGGATCAAGAGAGTCCACATTGGTAGGAAGCTGGCAAGCGTCCAGATGCAGGTTCAGTCTCATCCAGGCTATGACTTCAGGGACATGGCTCTAGGTTCTCAGATCCGGCTCACAGTGGGACAACTTGAGAAGCTGCTGATGCAGCCGGGCCTCATCCCTTCAGGCGTGGATTCATTTGGCCCAGTGTGGGAACTGGATGTTGTAATTTATTTTTGGACAGAATCTCACAATGTAGCTCTGGCTGTCCTGGAACTCAGTATGTAAACCAGGTTGGCTCTGAACTCACAGAGATCCGCCTGCCTCTGCCTCCCAGGTCTGGAACTAAAAAGGTGTGTTCCTTCCCCTATACCCTGGCCATTGTAAAAGCACAATATGATAACCTCTTCAGTAATCACAAGCATACGCTGTCCTTTAGAAGCTCTGAATTGGGAGGAAATGGAGCCATCAAGCTAGGCTTGGGCTTCGAGCTCCGTTTATCCTTGTCCACAAGGAGTAAATGTCCTGATCGCAGATGATCTTCCATTCATCTAGAAAATGAATTCTACCGTTTATATTTACAGAAAAGCAGACATATTTTTACATCAACATGAATATGCGCGTGTGTTATCTCACCTCCAGCATCACAGGTTTTACCTAATAAAGGAAGAAGCTAAACTCAAACATCGGAAAACAGGAAAAAATGCTTACCTGCCCCAGGGCTACAAACACGCAGCGGCGTTCTGCACTTAGTGACACGCGTTGCCAGTGTTCTGTGCATGCTTTCTTTTCCTTCTTTCTTTTACGGCTGTTGACTTTTTTCTCAAGCTGACATTTCATCTGCAGATCTACCAAAGTGGATGGCTGCAACTTAGCCCTGTGGGGGTTTTGTTGTTGCTCTGTTTCGCTTCCCCCAACTGAGAGCACTGTCTAGCGATCTTTCCTTTCTAAGTGTGTTTTACACAGAGGATGACTGATTGTCGGATCCATTCCACTGACTGTCTGGCGCGTCGGCTTGCAGAGATAACCCGTAGCCTGCCCCCTCGTGAGGATGGCACGAGATAAGGAAGAAGGGGATGCTTTGAAAGGGAGCAGCAGCTAGAACCCCAGGAGACAGAAAGCATCTCTAGGAAAACCCCATTTGCCGAGGACCAATGTGCCAGGCTTCGGATTGTTAAAGGTTTCACATTGGGTGCTCACAGTGACCTTGCAAACTGCCCCTTTGCTCTTTTACGGACGGAAGGCTCTGGCTCAGAGAGATGCAGAGGCTACACCAAGGTTGCTCTTGACAGCACTTAGATACACTAATTCGTCCTTCTATGAAGTGATGAGTTCCCTAAAGATGAGATTCCCTTCGGCTGTATCATGTATTCTGACCATATTCATCTTTAGAAACCCTCCTTTCTTCTCCTTCTCCCCTCAAACTGGTCTCTTCCCTTCCCCCAGACTCCTTTCTGTTTCTCTTTCTCTCTCTCCCCCCTTTCTCTTCCTCTTCCTCTCTCTGTCTCTTATACACGCACTCTCTCACACACATACATGCACACATGCATTTACATGCACACATATACATGCCTGGGTGTTTGTTTGTATACATACCTCATAGTTTCAGAAGATAATTGAACTATGCTGTAAATTGGAGTTTATACATATGTGCATATAAGGTCTATGTATTTATACAAGCAAGAGAAAACATGCACTATTGGTCTTCTTGTGTCTGGCTTAGTCTCCACTTACTATGACAGTCTCAAACTTCATCCTTTTTTTCCAGAAAGTGCCAGTTTCATGTTCTTTATGGCTGACTGTGGAGAAAGCCAAGCCTTAACCACAGCAGGTCTCAGCACTAGCATCACCTTCTCCGGCAGCCAGTGAGAGCCGTGTATGAAGCAGGAGGCTTTAGAGATGGATGGCACAGGAACAGAACAGGCTGTGGAGCTGCAGAAGGGGGTGTTGTTATAAACGGAAGCAGTGCATCTGGTTATGAAGTTGCTTGTATGGTGGGCGTGGAACTCACTTTGCAGATAGATTTCTTTTCTTTTTTTTTTTTAAAGCAACTTATTTATTTATTTTATTTTATGTACATTGATGTTTTGCCTGCATGTGTGTCTGTGTGAGTGTGCCGGATCCCCTGGTACAGACAGTTGTGAGCCACCATGTGGGTGCTGGGAATTGAACCCAGTTCCTCCGGAAGAGCAGCCAGTGCTCTTAACCGCTGAGTCCACGCTCCAGCCCCCGCAGATAGATTTCAAATCAAAGTGGCAGCCCTTGCTTAAGTTACTAGCGCTGTTGTCACTAGTAATTGAAGGTAGCAGACCCTGGAGAAAGTATCAGACATTCGCTCGGACTTTTTCAAGGTCACATGACTTTGCAAACTGTAAAGAACAGCCAGGCATGTGGCCATAAGATGTATGTGGATGGGCTCAGCTTCAGCTGAGCACACGTATGCCTGTGCGGCACTCCGAACCATTGCTTTCTAATGTTAAAGAGGAATACAAAGCCTGGGTGTGTAACTTGGTTGGTAGGGTGGCTGCTTAGTGTACGTGAGGCCCTGGAACCCCATAAACCACAGACGTGCCTGGGGTCCCAGCACTTGGGAAGTGGAGGCAGGAGGATTAATAGTTTGGCCCTGAGTTCAGGGCCAGTCAGGGCTACTTGAGAATTTGTATTAAAAGAGAGAGGGAGGGGAGGGAGAAAGGGGGAAGGGAGAGAACCCTAGCTGATGGATCGCAAACAGCAAAGAGCTACACAAGCGTGAGAAAATCATTGTTACACAACCAAGAAAGACCCAGGAACTCAGGATCCATAAACTACGCTTAGCGCAGCAAAACCTCAGCAAAACATGGTAGGCTGCTTCAGCAACAGTAACATGCCTGCTGCCCTTCCTTCCCCTTAAGGCACCTGAGCCTCTTCAACTCTTCCCTGACTTCCTGAACCATTTTCCTAAAGGAGAAAAGAATCAGTCATTCACATATGTGAGTTGATGCTTCTGTATGACTGCACTTTGGAACACTTCACACACAGGCACTCACACACGTACACAAACAAACAAGAATTTTTAGAAAGAAGGAAGCGAGGCCCTGGAGAGACTGATCAAGAGTTTAGGGCACTTGGTGCTCTTGCAGAGGCCCTGGGCTTGATCTTCAGCAACTGCCCGGTGGTTCACGACCATCAGTAAGCCAGGCAGATAGGTGGTGCCCAGACAAACATGCGGGCAGAACATCCATGCACAAAAACTAAATAAATCTTAGAAAAGAGAAGGGAGCTAGATCTCCAATGAATAACCAAACAACTTTAGTCAACGAAGAGCTAGCAGTGGTTCTCAACATGTGGGCTGAGACCCCTTTTGATGTGTTGGGGGGTCAAACAACCCCTTCACAGGGGTCATATATCAGATATCCTGCATATCAGATATTTACATTATGATTCACAACAGTAGTAAATTACAGTTGTGAAAATTACAGCCATGAGATAATGCTATGGTTGGGGCCACGGCTACACGAGGAACTGGGTCACAGGGCTGCAGCGTTAGGAAGGCTGGGAACCACTGGGCTGGAGAAAGAAGGACTGGCTGAAAGCAGCGGAAAGAACCGGTAGTGAAAATAAATGAAGCAGAGGATGGAAAACAGCAGAACCAGAAGCTGATACTTGGAAAGGACGAACGAAAACTCTGCTTAGACAGAAACAAAAAGAGATGAGTCAAGGCCCCGAAGTCAGAAGTGAAAGTGGGCACTACTACCAACCTTGCCGAAGGAGAAAACGTCACAGACAGAAAATGCGAGCCACTGTGTAATGGAGCAGAAGATCTACATGAAGTAGACAAGTTCTTAGAAGCACACAGGCGACCTGAACTGAAAGCACAGAACATCAAACTAACGGGCTGAAGAGATGGCTCGGTGGTTAGAAGCACTGTTCTGTTCTCCCAAAGGGCCCAGGTTCTATTCCCAGCACCCACCTGGCAGCTCACAACTATCTGTTCCAGGGAATTTGATGCTCTCATACAGACATACATGCAAGCAAAAATACCAGTGCACATAAAATAAAAGATAAATCAAACAAACATTATCTTAAAAGAAAAAATAAAATAAAATCAATCAATGCAAAGAAAAGTGCTGTGGTTTGTCTATGAAGTGCCCCCCTGCCCCCCAATATATAAAGGGAATAGGAAATAAGTGGGCAAAAGACTTGAGCAGACATTTGTACCCCAAAGTTAGGCAAATGGCCACAAAACAAGAAAAGGTGGTCAACACGCCTAGTTGTTAGGAGAAGTGAATGTCAGCACCATGTAAGAGACCACTTTGTACTGGACAGCGGCTCTAACTCACCATAACAGGACACTCAGACCCCCACAGTCTGTCAGAGGAGATGGAGAATGCACAGCCTCAGCCTCCACATGGAACAAGCTGATAGGATTACCACATGACCCAGGGAGTTCCCAGAGAATTCGTCAAATGACACTAGTGTTTTAGAAAGACTTACCGTGGTGTGTGTGTGTGTGTGTGTGTGTGTGTGTGTGTGTGTGTGTGTGTGTGTATGTGTGGTCGGAAGACAGGCTTTGGGAGTTGGTTCTGCCCTTCCCCCATATCAATACAGGATCCTCCCCATCATCTGGGCTCCTGGGCTGCCCCACCTGTGTGCACTTCCACTGAGTCTCCTGTCTCCTGCAGAATGCTGGCCTTACAGAGCTGAGCACTGCACTATACGCCTGCACTATACTATATGCCTGCTCTATACGGGTTCCAGGAGTCAAGCTCAGGGTATTCGGGTTTACCTGCTGAGCTCTCTCACTAGCCGTAGGTAGAACCTGTACCTGGATGTTCATAGTGGCCTCAAAGGATGAAAACAAGGTGCCTGTCAGTGGGTGAATGGAAATAGCATGTGTGACATCCAAAACACAGAATTTGATCAGCCACAAATAAAATGGTGTCGTGATCTGTACTATCCTGAAGATGAACCCTGAAAACATTATTGAAGCCAGACACATACTGCATATTTGGTGCTGTGAAATGTCCATGATAGGTTAATCCACAGAGGCAGAAGTCAAATTTATGCGTAACAGGGGTAGAGGGGACTGGATGTTGAGTAGTAATTGCTTATTCAACATGGACCACCTTCCAGGAGTGAAGAAAAAGTTCTAGAAGGATATGTTGGTTGAGTAGCATAGCAAGTCAGTAACAATACTGGAATGTACTCTTTTTAATTTTTATTTTGTATTTTGGTTTTCTGAGATGGTAATCTTGGCTCTTCTGGAACTAGCTCTTTAGACCAGGCTGGTCTTAAACTCAGAGATTCATCTGTCTCTGCCTTTGAGATGCTGGGATTAAAGGTGTGCACTACCATGCCCAGAGAGAAATGTACACTTTAATAGAAGGGAATTCATGTCAGGTGCTGTAAACCTAGCCAGTTACCCGTGGCTGGTGACGTCATGGAACCTAGAGGAGAGCCTACTACAGCCGCTTTGCTGAATTAGCATATTCCTAACTCAATACTAAATACTAATTCTCTCTCTCTCTCTCTCTCTCTCTCTCTCTCTCTCTCTCTCTCTTTCATTGTTTTGCTTTGTTTTTCAAGACAGGGTTTCTTTATGTATGCCTGTCCTGGAACTTGCTCTGTAGACCAGGCTGGTTTCAAACTCACAGAGACCACCGTTCTCTGTCTCCTGAATGCTGGGATTAAAGATGTGTGCCACCACTGCCAGCTACTTATTACTATATCCAAAGATTAATGAAGCTCTCACCCCTTACGGAAGGAGTTTCTTTTTGCAGGACATGCAGACCCATCCCAGAAATTCACAATGAGTTACAGCACAGAGAGCAACAGACCCTAGGGTGCCTATTCCCAAAGACACCCTACAGTCAACTCCTACACCGAAGGCTTAGGAAACCAGGGAGGGCGGACAATTCTCAGAGCCAGGCCAGGGTGCCTGCTATTAGTCAGCATTTTCCACGTGTGACAGGGAAACAGAATCTATAAAATCCCCCAGATTTGGTTGCCTAAACAAATGACACCACCAGTTGACACATCAGTGATCAGTGTGGGCGGGCTAATCTCATGGTACCCCACTCCTAGATGACAGCTGAGGCAATTAATGCCTACTGAGAGAGGGACAGTCTGTCTTTGCTGGGAACAAAGTCCCTGAGAGGTTATCCAGACCCCAAGAGGCCAGCCCTAAACACACATGAATATGAGCAACACTAAATGGTCTCAGCAGGTTACACACACACACACACACACACACACACATACACACACACATCTGTGTGTGTAACAATAATAACTAAAGAAGTCAATAACTTGAGAGGAAATTGGGTACACATGGGTAGACCTGGAGTGGGGAGGGGAGAGGGAGAGGAGTGATATAAATATAGTAATCATGTATGAAGCTCTCAGAAACTTTTAAAAATGGAATTCAGAAAGATTAAAATGGTAAATCTCATATTGCATGTATTTTGCTTCCCAGCATGGTAAAACATGTAAAGGTCTACTGAAAGAATTAATTTCTA